TGACGTTGTGTTACTTTGCCTGCCTAAAACACCTGATTGCTCCAATAAAGAGCTGAATGGCCAATTGCTAAGCAGGAGAGAGAAGAAGGCAGGGCTGGCAGGTAGAGAGAATAAATAGGAGAGTAGAGAAGAAGAGGGAGGAGCAAGAGGAGGAGGAGGGAGGACTCTAGGGGCCAGTCACCCAGCCACACAACCAGCCATGGAATAAGAAATAAAGAAAAGATATACAGAAATAGAGAAAGGTAAAAGCCCAGATGCAAAATGTATATGGGTTAATTTAAGTTACGAAAAGCTGGCTAGAAATAAACCAAGCTAAGGCTAGGCATTCATAGGTAAGACTAAGACTCCATGTATTTATTTGAGAGCTGGGCAGTGGGCCCCACAAAGAGCAAAGAGAAAAAAAAACCAACTACAGGTTCTTGCCTTTCGTCTTCTTGAGGTACAATCTCTCTTGTTTTTGTTTTTGTTTTATTATTTTTTCACACAATATATTTTGAGCATATTCTTTTTCTTCTCCAAACCTTCCAGATCCTTCCCATGTTCCTGCCCACCCATCTGCATGTTCCCTCTCTCAAAAACAAAAATAAACAAAACTCAAAACAAACTAACAATGAATCATACAAAGAAACCCACACAACAAAATGAAACAAAAACCCCTTCCCAAAAGCATGGACTCTGTTTTGTGTTTTTGTGTTGGCCAACTGCTTCTAGGCATGGAAGGGGGGTGTCCTGGAATGTATGATGCTCCATTGGAGAAAATGGATTTTTTTTTCCTTTCCTAGTAGGTATCAATTGTAAGAAGCCTGCGCACTCCCTCCCCCCTCAGAACTGGGACTTTGGCTTGAACCTATGCAGGTCTGTGCATGCTGTCTCAGTTTTGTTGTGTCTGGAAGACACCACCTCTGTCTCTGACAGTGTTCCTGCCTCCTCTTCCACATAGATCCTGAGCAGGGACTGGGGGACTTTGATGGAGACATCCCATTAAGGACTGAGTGCTCCCAAGTCTCTCATTCTCTGCACACTGTCCAGTTGTGTTCATTTCCACACGCTTCAAGAAGAAGCTTCCCTTACGAGAGCTGAGTAAGGCACTGATCTAAGAACGTAGCAACATGTCCTTAGGAGTCATTCTTTGTTATGTTCTTCGAGCAGAGTCATAGACATAAAGCAGCCAGTGGTATTAACTGTTGAACCATCTCTCCAAACTCCATCGCTCTTGTTTTGGCTGTGATGTGTGCTCCAGACTAGCTGGCCTGTGAGCTTCCAGTAGACTTTCTTACCTCTGTCTCCCATTTCACTTCCCAGGAAGTGCTGGGATCACAGATGATGTCACTGTATCTGGCTTTTTTACGCGGTTCTAGAGATTAAACTCAGCTCATCAGGCTTGTGAAGCAAGTGCTTGTATTCGCTGAGTTGAGCCACCTCCCTGGCCCCACATCCCAGTTTAATCACCAGCAGTAAAATCGTAAGAAATGATGTACTAATCAGGTATGGAAGCGCACACCTTTAATTCCAGCATTCAGGAGGTAGAGGCAGGTGGACTGCTATGAGTTTGAGGCCTGCCTGGTCTACAGAATAAGTTCCAGGATAACCAGTGCAGTTACACAGAAAAAAAAAAAAAACAAAATAAAACAAAGCAAAACAAACAAACAAAAAAGAAAAGAAATGATGTAATTAAAAATATTCTAGCAAACTCAAATGCACATGCTTGAATACACACCCATTCCTACACACTATAAGCAAAGGCATTTTCTATGTCATCAGAGCCCAAAACACTGTCTTCCAGTAGTAGTTACTGAAGCTCACACTGAATGAATAATTAGAATGCAAAAGGCATGCAAAATTAGCAATAAAGGAGAAATTAGCATTCTCAAACAGGAGCATACCCTTCACGAGTGTTTTGTATTATGAGAACTCACACAATATTAATTCAATATAATAAAATACTTGACATAATAAGTTAAGACAAGACAATGGTTAAAAGGGGCATTGTAGAGATGAGGAAAATTAACCCTATTAGTTATGCAACAAATCATATAGTTAGACACTGATACACTTGGCTAGAAGCCAAGTTTTAGTGGAGTGTCTTGAGATAATTATGCTTGTGGAAAGAAAAGAGAAAAAAGTAATGAACGAGAGAGATGATGGATAGTGAAGAAAATTCTTTGATGGTCTTAAAGTAAAGACTCTAAAAGGTGGACTAAAAAATATTCAGCAATATCATACACAAAAGTTGCCCAGAAATAAAAGAATCAGGCTGAAGGGGCATAACATATATTGTAAAAAAACGATTAAGAGCCTGGCGGTGGTGGCACACATCTTTAATCCCAGCACTTGGGAAGCAGAGGCAGGCAGATCTCTGTGAGTTCGAGGCCAGCCTGGTCTATAAGAGCTAGTGCCAGGACAGGCTCCAAAGCTATAGTGAAACCTTGTCTTGAAAAACCAAAAAAAAAAAAAAAAAAAAAAAAAAAAAAAAAAAGAATGATGTCAAATGATGTCTTATAAAACAAAAAACAAGAAAGATGACAAAGGTGCTGGTGGTGTGGCCGAGTCCACATCTGCTGCTCTGCAGTGCTCTCTCTAGCTCTCTCTCACCTCCATGGCTGTTACAGCCTTTGCACCCATGCTTCTGCCTTGCTCTTGAGCCTTCGTTAGCTGGATATAGATGTCCCAGTGAGCATTCTTATTCTCAGTGCTTTGATTGGTCATGAGTCTCTGCATAACTTTTGCCCCTTGCAGAAAGAAGCATCCCTGGCCAAGGAGCGCTAATCCACGGTGAAAAACATAGAAGACGGTTTGGCAACATGTCCATTTAGCAAAACAATAGTAATAGGTGCCCCCCTAGGGCCTATGACTTCCTAAGCCATGGGCTTTAGACCAAATTTGTGGTACCAGTCTTGAGTGGAGCAGGTCTCAAATCCAATCACAAAGCCACTGGTTACCCCCATAATGCTTGTGATACTATTATACCAGTAGGTATAATGCCTGTCAGGTCAGTATGTTAGCATTCAAGCTTCTCCCTTCCTCCTTTCCTCCCTCCCTCCCTCCTTCCCTCCCTCCCTCCTTCCCTCCCTTCCTCCCTCCCTCCTTCCCTCCCTCCCTCCTTTCCTCCCTCCCTTTCTTAGGCACCAGTCCATTGACAGACAGTGGAGTTGTCAACCCTAGACAATTTATGGAATGTTTTAAGTACATGAAAGAAATCTAAGGATTATTATGTCGCAGTTATGGAATATGTGACCCCAGAACAGATTGTTGCTATAGCAACTCATATTAGAACACAAAATCATCTGTTTTTGTGTTGAGGAAGAGTTTTCGCTGTTAGTGGTGAATGCAGAGGGAAACCTCTTGGAAAATTATTACCAGCTCTTACTTTGCTGAACAAGGAACAGAACTATTATAAGATCACCCCTGAATGTCTACCGCAAAATGTGGGTTTCTATAAAAAGCTTGCATATACAGTTTCTGAAGAAAATTACATGTGTTTGGGGTTCCAACAGTAAAACCCTTTTAGAAAGGGAGTCGTCAGGGAGCTTCTGCTACAAGGATGCGCTCTTTCTAGAGTGAATACAATGGTTTGTGCTGGAACTCAGTGACCTGCATAAGGATTGGACTGGGGGAAAAAACCCACTCCCAACACTATAGCACTCCAAGCTAGTGATATTAGAATATTATTTTTGGTCGTGGGACATGCTGTAAGTTTAGATTTCAAACAGAAAGCCTCCTGCATCCCTCCCTCCCTTCCTTCCTTCCTTCCTTCCTTCCTTCCTTCCTTCCTTCCTTCCTTCCTTCCTTCCTTCCTTTCTGTGGCGCGGGGAGCTGAACCTGAGGCTCTATCATCGTGCAACTATGCCCCTAGCAGAGATGCCCTTTGTTCATCCGTCTTCCACTCAGGGCACGGACAGAGGCAGAGAAAACAATGAGCAAATGAGGCTATTCCTGGGTGGTGAGGTTTATTTGTTTATTTATTTTGCATGTGGGTGTGGGTGTGTTCACCTGTGCACCCGCTTGTGGCGGCTAGGGGTTGACGATGGGTGTCTTTTGATATTACTCTTTCTTTAATTTAGCTGTCTCCCAGGGAGTTTTCTCCCTCGGGTGGGTGCTATGTAATGTCCACCCACCCCCTCATAAGGTCCCAAAGACAAACCAAAGTTCACCCTAGGGAACCAATGACTTTGTTGGGTTTACTTATAGAGTACGAGTAAGGGGTCACTGGCAGGAGCGTGGGCTCTGCTCAGAGGACAGTTCTGTGGGAACCACAGGGTCTCCTACAGAGCCTGAAGTTTGCTGATGGGGTACGGTGGTTGGCTCGCAAGCCTCTGGAATCTGCCCGTCTCCTCCTCCACGGCACTGGGGTTGCAGATGGTGGTGCAGTGTTGGACTCTGATGTGGGTGCTGGGGATCCAAGCCTAGGTCGTCTCGCTTGTCCTTTGCACACTGAGCCACTGAGTCTTTCTTACTAAATTTTCGACATAACAAGATTTCTATAATGAGAAAGGCTTTTGGGCCGGGCGGTGGTGGCGCACGCCTTTAATCCCAGCACTCGGGAGGCAGAGGCAGGCGGATCTCTGTGAGTTCGAGACCAGCCTGCTCTACAAGAGCTAGTTCCAGGACAGGCTCCAAAGCCACAGAGAAACCCTGTCTCGAAAAACAAAAAAACAAAAAACAAAAAAAAATGGAAATAAAAAGAGAAAGGCTTTTGGAAACATTTTTATTTCAAAATCATTTCAGACTTTCAGAAATTTTCCAAGAATAGTTCAGAAAAACCTCATGCTGCTTTTATGGGGATTTTCTTAAATGGGAGTATTTAACCACGTTTGCACTCTCGTTCTTTGTATTTTCCTTTTTCTTCCCCCTGGAGTCATTGAGACACAGATTGCACTTTCAATGTTCCTTCCACCCCAACTGCCTCAGGTGCATTTTCTAAAAGCAAAGATGCAGGTGTAGACTAAATCTCACGGGGTGTTAATATCCCTAGTTAGTATCCCTAGATGAGAGACAGTGGGGGTACCGCTAACTACCTTTAGGCTTGTGTGACTGACAGCAAAGTCTCATTTCCAGAAATGGCAAAGATGGAGCTGTCCTAGGGCCCCTGGGCACCATAATGACCATGTGATCCCCAGTCAGCCAGTGGTGAAGTTGCAGGGAAGGATGGTGGAATAAACACCCTGACATCACTCTCCTCTTCTGGCTCCTGCTGATACAAATACACACATTTACACAGAGTGAAGACAGGAACAATCTTCCTCAAAGGAGAAAGCCCCTCCCTCTGAAGAATGTGGTAGAAATGATCAACTGGAAAACCAACCTGTGTTAACTGTGATGGTAAAACTCGGTTCAGCCAAGGATCCCCGAGGTGCTAAAGCTAGATCTGGAGGACAAAGACTTGATGTGTAGGGGCTGAGGCAGGGGTGCTGCTTAGTTGGTAACGTGCTTGCCACACAGGGATGAGGACCTGGGTTTGATCCTTTAGAAGCTGTTTGAAAAAAATCAGGCATGATGATATGTGCTTGTCATCCTCAGTACTGGGGGATGGAGACAGGTAGGTCCCTGGGATACCCTGGCCTGCTTCGTCAAATTGATGACCTAAGTCAATGAAGTCAATTGTTCCCGAGAACAATAACTCAAATTTATTTGGGCCTATACACGCGCATGCACACACACACACACACACACACGAACATACATACACATTCTTACACACGAACATGTGTTCTTATACAAACACACACACAAAGTATAAGGAGTAATCACGTTTACATAGATTCTTATTAATTCCCAAGGGAATCAGTAACTTGAGTAGAAAGTCTGGGCACACACCCCGATAAGTGACTAATCAAAAATAACATCAGCTCAGTGAGACATACTGGGGCTAAGTGCCTCCTGACCCATCTTATAATGTTCTAAACAAACGTACCCAGCTGATGTCAAATCCAAGGTATCGGTAGAGGAATCTGGGTAGAGGGAATTCTGTAAAACAGAGTAGTCTGGTGTGGGTGGTTCAATTGTGTTTCAAATATACATTCAAGTCCTAATTCAGGAATGGTGACTTGATTTGGAAACAAGGCCATTGCAGATATAATTAGCCCAGAGGAGCTCCTGAGTGGGCTGGGCCCTAATCCAATATGACTATGTCCTTTTTTTCTATCCCTCAAGAATTCGATTAAATATTTATTGGACAAATACATCATAAATGAGCGAAGGGGTGTTTTAGCTTGATACAATTCACAACTTCAAATATTTGAAGGGGCAGTCACACAAAGAATGCAAAGATTTAGTCAGCGTGTCTACAAGAGACGAAGCTTAAATCAAGGGGTAAACAGAAGCCTCGGTAGACTGCAGGAGAGGTGGCCGAAGTCCACCACACAGTTAGCATCAGCCTTTCCCACACAGCACATTTGATGCTGGATTTCTCCCTTCTTGAGATAGAGCAGGGGGCACCTCTCCCCGGGTACTGGACAGGTATAATGCATTATGAGAACATTATTAAACTCACAGTTAGTGTTAAGTATTTGTCCTGTATTATAAACACTTACAAATTTATATTAAAAGCACTCTTTCTGAGATGCTTTTCTTATAAGCAAAGACACTGGGGACCCTGTCATTTGACTCCCTAATAAGCGGCTGCTAAATTCTCTCCCTCTTCCTGGGCAGTCTTGAGCAAAGACTGTCTAACAGGCAGCCGACTACCCTTGTATCAACTGTTCTGAACACTCCCTAGATGACTCGACACACTTATGCAAAAGACTGCAGCTAGTTTCCCTGGCAACAGTCGGGGCTGTTGGGAGCAGTCTATGTGCCACATTTTACAGTCAGAATAAACCATCTCCACCTCCGTCAGACTGAGAACGCTAAACCCCGTTAGAGACACGGCTGCTGAGACAGGCTAAGGAGCAGGGCTGCGATTGGTTTAAATCACACCCTTTAATGCCTGTGACGGGCATGGAAGAGGTCCGGTAGCCTGGCAGCCAGACAGGGAGTTCCGGTGGCTCAGCTGGCTTTGGACCTTCCAAACTGGACTCCAAACACTTCATGGGCTCTTAATAAAAGACAAAACAGAGTGAAAACAAAACCCAACAACAACCAGTGTCCCAAGTTATATAAGGCCCGGGCTTGTTCCCTGTCTGGGAACTCAACAGTGTGAGACCACTCTTCCTGTTGTTTTTGTGGAGACAGGGCCTCTGACATCCGAGGTTGGCCTGGAACTCAATATGTAGCTTAGGCACTATTAGGAGGGGTGTCAATGGGGGTGGGGTGGGCTTTGAGGTGTTAGAAGCTCAACCCAGGCTTACTGGTTCACTCTCCAGCACCATGCCTACCTGCATGCTGTCATGCTTCCTGCCATGATAATGGACTAAACCTGTGAAACTGTTAAGCCAGCCTCAATTAAATGCTTTTCTTTATAAGAGTTGCTGTGGTCGTGGTGTCTCTTCACGGCAATAGAAACCCTAACTAAGACACTGATCTTGAATTCCTGATTCTCTTGCTTCTACTTGTCAAGCACTGAGGTTATAGTATGTGCCACAATGCTTAGTTAATATCGGGCTATTTTAAGTTCTCTGTCCACTGCTGCTGTTTCTTCCTCTTCCTCCTTCTTTCCTTCTCCTTCTCTTTTTTCTTTCTGACTGCACAAATAATACCACAAGTCGGCCATGAGAACCAGATTTGGGTTTGTGTGGGTTAGGGTGTTTTTGTCAATCTGACACAAGCTATAGTCATCTGAGAAGAGGGAGTTCCCGTTGAGAGCATACCCCATTACACTGTAGGCAAACCCGTGGGGCATTTTCTTGATTGATGATTGATAGAACAGGGTCCAGCCCACTGTGATCAGTGCCCTCTTTGGGCAGGTGGTCCTGGGGTGTATAAGAAAGCACACTGAGCAAGCCATGAGAGGCCTGTCAGTCAGCAGTGTTCTTCCATGGCCCCTGCATCACCTCCTACCTCTGCGTTCCTGCCTGACATCCATTCACGATGGACTACAAGTCTCAACTAAGATAAACCTTCTCTTCACCACAATGCTTTTGGTCACAGTGATTTTCACACCAATAGAAACCTTAGCTAGGGTTCAAATGATCAGGGGGATATATTTTCTTCCAGTGGCAAAATTGAGCACTGGAACTTCTCTGGCTGTTCCTATTATACTTTGCATTTTCACACCTATAGATTTCTCATTTATTACTACACAGAGGCTTTTTAGCTTATTAGTATATAGGCATGTCCAACCTGTGGCCCACAGGACACCTGAGCCCCAGGGTAGCTATGTCACCATTAGTGAGAGAAGAAAACAGCAGACTGGTTCAGCTGAATGAGGCTCATTGTGGAGTCAACCCAACCTCTTTTTTTGTTTGTTGGTTTTCTGTTTTTTTTTTTTTTTTTTTTTTTTTTCCGAGACAGGATTTCTCTGTGTAGCCCTGGAACTCTCTCAGTTGACCAGACTGGCCTTGAACTCACAGAGATCCACCTGCCTCTGCCTCCTAAGTGCTGGGATTAAAGGCGTGCACCACCACTGGCTCACCCCACCCTTTTTTGCTTTAGTTGGTTCAGGTCACACCTCCCAGAGTTTGCACAGACAGTTTTTTTATTAGACCAGATATGTGCCTTAGGCGGGCAAGATGAATAGCAGCACATATTTTTATAATTAAACAAACGTAACACACCTTTACATAGTTAAATATTCCACAGCAGAATGCTCCTTTGCTTCAAAGTCAGATGAACTCTGCTGAAACAGGCAAAGCGTTATGGAAATTTTTATTTTTAAAGACTGATTTTTATTGTCATGTGTAGATGTATGTATTCCCATGTAGATAAGTGCATATGAGATCAGGTCCCCCAAGAAGCCAGAGACGTCAGATGCCCTAGAGCTGGAGTTGCCGATAATTGTGAGCTGCCTGACATAGGCTCTGCGAACTGAACCTGGGTCCTCTGCAAGAGCAGCAAGTGCTCTTCACTGCTGAGCCATCTCTCCAGCCCCCATTTATGTCAATAAAGATGTGAAGGTAGAAAAGAAAACAAGTTTGGGATTCTGAGGTAAGCTTTGAAATATTCCTGGAACAACTTGAATATGTGCATTTTTTTTTCAAGTAAAAGTTTTATGTGATCTAAATATACACAGATCAAATAATTCTGGGGAGGATTCAGTACCCAAACTGAGACGGGCTGTAAGTGTGATATGCAAGCCAGATTTGAAGACTTTGTTCCAAGAAAATAATGCAAAAGACCCCACTGGGTCTTTTCCCAATAATTAATAAAAATATTAAGTTGGAAAAAATTAAAAGGAACTAGATTAAAAACAAATATTGATTACATCTTAAATGATAGGAGTCTAAATAGATGGTGATCATCCAAATGTGGCTAAAATTAATTTCACCTGCTTGTTCACCCCAACTATTAGAGAATTTAAAATTATCCATGTGGCTCGCATATTGTTTCTGTTGGATCATGCGAGAGTAAGGGCAGGCCTGCATTCTGCGCATACCGTATTGCTGGTACCTAACACGTATGGGCATGTACAGGGTGTAAACATTTGTAGATCTTTAAGGAGGAAGATAATTTAATCTGGGAGGGAGGAATTACCACTTGGCACAATGGTTGCTCGGGTGAGCTGCTATCCCCTTCCCCAAACTCTGTAAATCTACAACAATGTTCCCCCGGGACAACTTAGTACGCTCATGCTTACCTTGTCTTCTCTGGGTCACCAGAAGCAAAATGACAGGGAGCTCAATTCACTACTAGGCTATGAATCTCCTGCCCCCTCTGTTTTGTTTTCTTCTCAAAGCACGACTAAGCACCTAAGTTTGCAACCTCTTGTTTTTACTATCTCAGGTCTGCAAAGTGGGCTGGCTGTTCAGCTTCAGATTGTGAGTTTCATCTTCACATTTTTTTTTTCTTGTTTGGGGTGTTAACGAGAACTTCAGCTGCAGCAAACACACACATACACACACTCACACACACAAACACACTCACCTTGACAAAACAAGTTAATGGTTTGCCACCCGTCCTTCTTGCAAAGCTGGCTCTCCTAATAGGAAACATGACTTTTGTGTTGGATGGAGAATTATGCAAAGAGCCTGACTCCCCATGGTGTGAATTACCTTCCCCTCATAGGAAGAGGAGAAAAGAATGTTTCCTTTGGAGCATGATAGGGAAAATTGCATTTTCTGTTGACTGCACAGATCTGTCTATGCCAGGATCCTGCTCAACCTTTTGTTCAAAATAACCAGCCTATATGATCTAATTAAGTCAGTGCCTCCGGCTTTGAAAAGAGCTCGCTTTACTGCTTCGCTCCTCCAGTAGGTTCACCTCTGGACCTGCTTGTTCAATGGCAAACCCACAGTCTGAGTGACCCCTTCCCTAGTGCCTGTGCTGGGGTATCTCGTTGTACATCCTAGCTAGCCTTTCATGCACCCCTTGAGGTCAGATGACTATGTGGGAAACTATGTAGTTCTGTCTGATAGTTTTAGGGCTGTCGGATAAGTTTTAAAATATTTATTTTAATCAAAAATATGTGTGTGTATGTCAATGTGTGAAGGTGCCCTTGGAGGCTAGAGGCATTGGATCTCATGGAGATAGAGCTACCTGATATGGAGTCGAACAAGAGTCCTCTGGAGGCTCTCCAGCCCCCACTCTCAGATAATATTTTTGTTAGGACACTGTCTTGAATGTGGGCAGTGCTGGTGCACACCTTTAGTCCCAGCACTCAGGAGACAGAGGCAGGTGGGTCTGAGTTTGAGGCCAGCCTGGTCTATAGAGTTGAGTTTCAGGGCAGCAAGAACTGTTACATAAACCCTGTCTTGAACCACCACCCCCCCCACACCCTCTGCACCTGGCCAAGACTATCTTGTGCAAACTGGGTGTGTCTACAATCCCACCGCTTGGCAGGTGGAGGAGGGCAGGAGTTCAAGGTCATTCTCAGCTACACAGCAAGCTTGACGTCAGTCTGAGTTACTTGAGACCCTGAATCAAAAACCAAAACCAAACCAAACCAACAGCAACAATAAAAAGAATACTGGCAAGGTGATGCTTGCCTTTAATCACAGCACTCTGAAGACAGGGAGGCAAGTGGCTCTCTCCGAGTTCTAGGCCAGTCTGGCCCATACAGTGAGTTTTAGGCTAGACAGGGATACTTAGTGAGACCCTGTTTAAAAAAAGAAGAGAAAAGAATAAAACTTCTATTATATGTAGGGCATACTTATGCTACATTTTTGTGTCCAGTGGCAACCTTTGATGAGATCCTATATTTGCCCCCAAAGAGGCAATCTATTGGGCTAGCAAGATGGCTCAGCAGGTAAAGGTACTTGCCACCAAGCCCGATGACCTGAGTTTGATCCCCAAGATCAACATGGCAGAAGTAGAGGCCCAACTTCAGGAAGTTGTCTTCTGACCTCCACCTCCACCACCGTTCCTCCCAATAACAAACAAACAAACAAAGGTTCCGGATGACCCAAGGACGTATTGAACGTGGAGAGGAGATTTAAACAAAGGCCAGTGTGGTACTGAATGACACCTACTGAATCCTGCTGTCAGAAAGCAACTGAAACCACACCTAGATTTCTATTTTCATACCTTTGATGACAAATGAATCCAGGGAAGGGGCCCTGCAAACTGTAAAGTGTTTATTCCTTGCTTTGCTGACTCTTTTACACACACACATCTAAATTCCCCACCAAGACTGTCAACCCATGAGGGCAGAAATGGTCTTCTTTTTTATTGGTATCCCCCAAATCCATCAAAACATTTGAGCATCTGTTCGTGCTCAAAAGCATTACCAGTAACCTTGAAGTGAAATTTAAGGGCAACGCCATCAAAGGATGTGGGGTCTCAAAGCCAGAGGATGTTCCGGCAACCTCATGGGAGGTGCAGGCGTGAAAACCCAGAATCCAGTGTAGTTGAGTTGCATAGTGTGTGGAAAGAGAGCTCCACTGTGCGTAGAAGGAATCCAGTCAAAGCCCATCACCCACCTTCTGCAGAACAAGTGATTGTCACCAGCAGCAGCGGCCTCCCCCACCACCTGTCAGGGAACCACTGCCAATGGGTAATTGTACCACGATGTTTCGAGAGGAAGCCTGACATAAAAAAAGGAGCTGGCAGCGTCCAGGGGCCAGCAGGGCCTTTTCATACCTGCTAATGAAGCCTCATTAGAAGCAGCAGGAGTCTGTGCTGGGAACTGGAAGCAGCAGTCAGTCCTGCCTCTCCCTGCCAAAAGGTGATTAACTAACTGACTTGTAGCACCTGCTCTCTGAGCACGCAGGGCAGAAGAGTCTGAAGGGTACAGCCTCACGCAGCGTGCTTCTGGGAGAGACTCCGAGAGTCGTGCGCGTCGACTCTCCTGCCTTCCACAGCGGCTGGGCTGGATTCCAGATTCTGCAAAAGAATGCAGGCATGGGGTCCTCACCTTCCAGGCTTCAGGCTATGTTGAGGTTGGGAACTGAGATCTTGGTTTAGAGGCAGTAATTAATGATAATAAGAAACCTATCCCAGTACCTGCGGCATCCACCATAGCTGGGACAGCTGCACGCTTTTCCTGAGCGGCTCTCGTACCCAGGTGGTTCAATTAGTAGTGTTCAGCTCCAGGGGAAGTGGATGCTTGGCTGAAATGGAGTGTAAGTGGCGGCCTGCCTATTTCTGTACTTCAGACAACGAACTGGATTATGTAGAGATATTGTGCAGAGTCTAAGTAGCTGGTCTTCTGGGAGATTCATGAATTCAATTTCTTTAGTCCTGCAGGCTAGCAGGAAAATCCATCTGACAGGGTCCCAACAGGACAGCTTGTTTCTTTTTAAAGGCTAGTGGCTTTTTGTTTGTTTGTTTTTGTTTGTTGCTTAAATAAAATAAACAATGTTTGTCTTTTTGGAACTTTACATATGAAGGTCTTCAAATGTTCCTGCACCGGATGGACCTCTTTTGGGGTGAGCAGCTCGCAGTGACAAAGGGGACAAAGATTCAGCTTGTGTGTCTTGGTCTAATTCAGTGTAGCAGGTAGGTGACGGAAACAGAAGTGTGTATTTTTGTGGTGGCGTGGTGGTGGTGGTGTGTGGTTTTAGAAGCACTGAGAGCCTGTGGTCGGACCCAGGTGGTGGTTTCAGTTTTAATCTGAAGGCAGGAGAGTCTTGCCTGCGTAGGAAGCAGATGCATGAACTATATTTGGCTGGCCCAAGCCTTGAGGGGGCTGGCGTGAGGCTCCTGAGAAGAAAATTTGAGGCTGCAAGTAGGTGAGCAACCACAACCCAATTAGTGTCCCATGGGCCGAAACTGATGAAGAAGCGCCGTGCCATGGGCAAGTGAGATGTGCGTGTTTATAAACATGGTGTGGTCGTTCACGAGGTCAGAATGCCCTGTGACACCTGTAACTATGCTGTGTTCTGGCAAAAGTGTGTGTGTGTGTACATTTTGGTGTCAATAGCAGAACTTTTGAGTGAACAGCACCTGTGTGCTGATATACCCCAGAAGAATTGACCCTGAGGCAATGGTGGGACAGGTGTTGTCACATAAGGTCCTTTCCAGAAATACCTAAGACTGGCTCCCTGGTATGGTAGAGTAGTGTAGTGACAGAGTATATAATTAGCATGCATGAGGCCCTGGGTTCCATCCGGTGAACCACCACCACCACCACACACACACACACACACACACACACACACACACACAACCAATGAAAATCCCCAAAGAGCCCCTGAGATATGCAGACAGGACTGTGTTGTCTCTGTACCAACAAGTTAAACATGAAAGGGTAGACTGGGAGCTGCACACAAAGCATTTATTTGGAGAGGCCTAGGTTGTTCAAGCTAGAGACTACTTAAGTGAGAGCAGAAGGAGCCTCTCTACTCCTAGGAAGCATTTTGCTTCATCTGAGTCAAGCAGGGAATCCAGTCGCTAAAGAAGTTCCTCAAGTGTTGTTGCTGGTGGGCTGCTGAAGACGGTAGCTCTCTTGGCAGAAGGAGGAAGTTGTTTTCATTTTTCCCATCAGCTTAAAAGAAACACAGGTGAGTCAGAAGCAAGAGAGACAAAACACTGGTAAAGACGCCATGGCAGGATTGTGGGGAAAAAAGCCGTGTCATGAGAAAGAATTTGGCTTTTGGAGTAAGACGGTGCCAAGGTTCGAATCCCTGCTTTATAGTTTGATGGATTTTGGGCAAATGACTTTTGGAACTCTGGGACACATGTCCTGTCAGTAACTGGGGACGTGTGGCTTTCTGGTGGGCACAGTAAGGAATGGAGGCAGCCAAGGGTTAGGGCTCCACTTCCGCCTAACAGCCACTCAGCGGTACTTATGCTCCTGAACTATGTTCCACCTCCTTCACTCTCCCGTGTTTATTTAAAATGGCTTTGCATATTTACTCAGATGTGCATAGGAATCTGAAAGATTTGGTTTTGTTAGGAACATCTGGCTTTCACATCCCACAGAAAGCAATTGGACAAAAAGACAATTGGGGAGAGAGATGATGTTTTCCATTCGAAAGGAGGGCCTGAAAGGGTTGCAGGTGGCTCTTTGGTTATTCTTCCATGAAACAGGATGCTATCCTTTCTGAGAGAGGGCCCAGAAGCCTGGGTTCAGGACCCAGAGTTGCTTCAACCTCCATATGTGACCACGGACAAATCCCTCCCACCTGGGCTTTCTTCATTTTCTCTTGAGATGGACTATATGACCTGTAAGCTGGCGTTTGTACTTTATTTTTTATTAGTATTTGTGAATGCACATACACACACATGCCACAGCACATGTATCAAATA